CAATGGAATCTGTAAAGCATAGTGCACTGCATGTGGAGCATCTTTAACACTCCCCCTCAAGTCGGAGCGTGAATGTCAATGACGCCTAACTTGCCTAGATGCGTTTGAAAAATAGGCGCACGCAGTGGCTTAGTAAACAAGTCTGCGACTTGTTCTCCCGTTCCGACATAGGAAGTTTTAATTTCTCCCCTTTCAACCCTCTCACGAACAGTGTGGCAATCGATCTCAATATGCTTTGTGCGTTCATGATACACAGGATTTGCAGCTATGTGTAAAGCCGCTTGGTTGTCACAAAATAACTTTGCCGGTTGGGAATGCTCAACACGTAAATCTTTCAACAAATATCGCAGCCAACTTAATTCACAAGTAGCTGCAGCCATGGATCGATACTCCGCTTCAACAGAGGAACGAGCTATTGTAACTTGTTTCTTGCTTTTCCAGGACACAAGTGACTTTCCAAGGAAGATACAATAACCTGTCACTGATCGACGGGTAATGGGGCAACGTGCCCAATCTGCATCACAGTAACCGATTAAATGTAATTCACTTTGGGAAGAGAACATTAAGCCTTGTCCGGGTGCTTCTTTCAGATATTGGAGAAGGCGATGTGCTGCCTGAAGATGGTGAAGTTTGGGTTCTTGCATGAACTGACTGAGATTATTTACTGCATACGTAACGTCTGGCATTGTAATGGTGAGATAGATCAGTTTACCAACCAAACGTCGATATCGAGTCGGGTCTTTGAGAGCATCACTACCCGTTGTTGTCAACACTAAATCAGGTTCCATGGGTACCTTGGCAGGTCTTACTCCAAGAAAACCAGCTTCCTCCAATATATCCAAGGTATATTTACGTTGGCAAATGGAGATCCCAGCCTTGGACCGTGCAACTTCGACACCAAGAAAATATTTTAATGGTCCGAGATCTTTAATTCGGAAACAACCATTAAGAAACTTCTTGAGTCGACTAATGGTTTCCTCATCATTTCCTGCAATGATCATGTCATCAACGTAGAGTAATACCACAGTAATAGATTGTCCACAGACCTGAGTGAATAACGAGTAATCCGTACGGGACTGTTGGAAGCCAATTTCTTGAATGGCAGATGAAAAACGTTGGAACCAGCTGCGAGAAGCTTGCTTGAGTCCGTATAACGATTTGTGGAGTCGACAAACCATGGTCTCCCCCTGTCGACGATATCCAGGAGGCGGTATCATATAGACTTCTTCATGCAATGCACCGTGAAGGAAAGCATTTTGGACATCCATTTGATGAAGAGACCAGCTGCGAACAGCAGCAACAGTCAAGAGACAGCGGACAGTAATGAGTTTAGCAACTGGAGCAAACGTCTGTTTGTAATCAATCCCTTCGCGCTGCGTGAACCCTTTGGCGACAAGGAGGGCCTTGTAGCGTTCGATGGTACCATCGGAATGGTACTTGATTTTGAAGACCCATTTACAGCCAATGGGTCGTTGGTGAGGAGGGAGGGGAACCATAGTCCAGGTGTGATTGGCTTCAAGGGCTTCAATCTCAGAGTTCATGGCTGCAAGCCAGTGAGGGTCATGACGGGCCTGCTCATAAGAGGCTGGTTCAACCAAGTGAGAGATGTTGTGGACAAAAGAGCAGTGAGCAGGAGAGAGATGAGAGTAAGGAACATACCGTTGAAGGGGATATCGGGTGCCGGACATGGTGGAAGGGATGACGCTGCGCTGAAGCAAAGCAGCATGATGTGTCTGGTAGTCACGAAGATGGGCAGGTGGGTGTTTAATGCGGTCGGAGCGGCGAAGAGAAGGAGGTTGCGAAGGTGAGGGAGCAGATGCTGGCGAGGGAGGGATGTCTGGCGAGAGAGGGATGTCTGGCGAGGGAGGGATGTCTGGGGGTGAAGGAGTGATATCGGCAGTGGGAAGGAGGTCAGGAGTTGGAAGGTGTTGAGTTGAGATGAGTGCAGGAGTGGGATCGTCATAAGGGATAGGTAAGATAGGGAAGTCGAGGTCTTTTTCTGGTGGTGAGGTAGCAAGGGGGAAAATATGCTCATGAAAGATGACATCACGAGAGGAAAAAACGCGTTTGCTATCAAGGTCATAAACACGGTAGCCCTTTTGGCCAAGGGGATAACCCAGGAAGAGGCAGCGACGAGCACGAGCATCAAATTTGTGGGAGGGGGTAAGGTTGGTGGCATAGCATAAACACCCAAAAACCCGGAGATGAGAGTATGTAGGTAGTGTCCCATGCAAGAGTTCATAGGGAGATTTGTGGGAAAGTAAGGGTGCTGGAAGGCGATTAATAAGGTAACATGCAGTTTGTATACTCTCCCCCCAGAATTTTAAGGGTAGGTTAGCTTGAAATCGTAAGGCACGGGCAACGTTCAAAAGATGGCGATGTTTGCGTTCAACTACCCCGTTTTGTTGAGGGGTGTGTGCACAGGTGTGTTGAAAAAGGGTGCCATGAGTGTCTAAAAACGAACGCATAGATACAAATTCTCCCCCATTGTCTGCACGAAGGGTTTTAATGTCACGATGAAACTGGGTTTTGACCCAAGAAAAGAACGAGTGCAACAAGGTTTGTGTATCTGATTTAAATCGCATAAAATGAACCCATGTGAAACGGGTAAAGTCATCTACAATGGTGAGGAAGTAACGTGCCCCAGAGTGTGTATGGATTTTATGTGGCCCCCAAATATCACAGTGGATCAAATCAAAAGGAGCAACTGATTTTATTGAACTGGAAACAAAAGATGAACGAGTTTGTTTTGCTAAAGGACAAACATCACAAACATGTGTAGAATCAAAGATAATTTCTGGGATAGTCTGGGATAAAGAGTGAAGGGGAGCCGAGGATGGGTGCCCAAGACGTTGATGCCAAAGTGCCGAGGTACGTTTGACATGGTGAGCGAGATGAGGGTTTTGTGTTGGAGTGAGGTAGTAAAGTCCATCAAACTGCTTGCCCAGGCCAATCATCCTCTTCGTAGCCATGTCCTGCACAACACAAAAACCCGGGTAAAATATCACAATGCACTTCAATGCCCAGGTCAACTTACTCACAGATAACAAATTCACATGAAATTGTGGCACATGTAAAACTCCATCAAGAGTTATCTCGGGGGACAATTTAATGGACCCAATGGTTTCAATCGCAGCCTGTCCGCCATTTGGTAAACCAACAAAATCATGTTGGGTTTTAGTGTGATTATGGCTGAGTGATAAGTGAGAAACATGATCTGTGGCCCCGCTATCCACGATCCAATACAATGTTGGATCATAATGTGCAAAATTGCAGTTGGGTGTATAGATACCTGTTGCATGTGCAAGGGGCAGATCGGTACCATTCTTATTGCGAAGGAGAGCCATGAGTTGGTTGTACTCCTCGGTTGTCAACGTTGCATCAAATTTGTTGGAGGTTGTTGCTTTGGTAGCTGGCGACGGTAATGCTTCAACATTGTTGGAAGTTGGAGGTGCACGTCTATTTCTGGGCTGCACATTCTTCCCGTGCCATTTATGTCATTCAGGGAATCCAATAAGGAAAAAACAACGTTCGACTGGATGTCCTCCGTCACAGTAGCTGCATTTGAATATCTTCCGTGAATTAGGGTTGTTGGCACCATAGCCTCGTTTTGGTGCTGTCGAATGACTGGTTTGCATTGCATGAGCGATAGGTTCACGTCAATTTACCACATCCAATTGGCGTTCATGTTGAAGAACCAATCCATGGACTCGTCGTGTATCTGGAAGTGGGCTCATCATTAAGATAGAACCTCGTATGATTGAGTAACTCTCGTTCAGACCGATTAAGAACTGCATGACTTTCTCTTTTTCTTCCCTGTCTGCATGTGCCTTGGATCCCTCGCATTCACAGGCAATGGGCCCATGATATGATGTTAATTCATCCCAGAGAGCTTTCAATTTTGTGTAATAATCTGAAACAGATAGCTGTCCTTGTCGGTGTTCGGCAATTTCTTGTCGAATTTGATAGATCCTAGAATCGTTTCCTTGCGAGAAACGATCCTCAAGATCTCTCTATGCTGCTGATGCAGTTTTGCAGTAGAGTATACTGTGGGCAATGTTGCCCTGCATGGATTGCCAAATCCAGGACAAGACCATGTCATTGCATCTCTGCCAAATTGGATACTTGGCATCAGTGGTTGCGGGATTCTTGATTGATCCATCAATGAACCCTAGTTTGTTTTTGGCGCTGAGGGCGATTCGCGTAGAACGGCTCCACTGTCCATAGTTGTGTCCATCAAGAAGTTGTGAGACTAAGACAAGACTTGGTGAGTCTGAATGATGCAGAATGAGAGGATCAGATACATGGGGTATCGTCTCAGCTGATCTTTCGTCGCCCAGGGTGGCTGTGTTTAATGAAGATGGACTGGTTGTGTTTGTGGCGGAAGCAGAATGAGCTTTCTAGAGTCACCAAGATCGGTGCTCTGATACCATATTAAACTTGGATCCAATCTATATTTTTGAATAATATGATCTGCTGCAATTGCAGAAGAGTTTTATACACAGTTTACTACACACGCATGCAAATAAACAAAACAACTGGAAGTGGCATCCTTGCTGTCTATGAAACATCAGTCAGTATACACATGCAGTGGCCTTGCTGTCCACTATGCATGTGTCCTTGTTGTTTAGAATAATCATACATCCTTAACGTGGGAACCATATACCAATCTGTAAAGCACAGTGGAATCTGTAAAGCACAGTGCACTGCATGTGGAGCATCTTTAACAGGGTGACATTCATTGTTTAAAGACCTAAATTATGTCTTTTAATGGACGATATGTAAATTTGTGAAAATATTGATATCATCCATTTTGATAAAAATAATGCAAATTTGCTCAAAAATAAGAAATTAAAAATGAAACTTTGCCAATATCATACGACATTTTGTCGATATTTGACTGATATATAAAAAACACCGAGGAAATCGGTCGATTTCAATCAAAATTTAAGTGATTTCTTTGATATTTCTACGGAGGTGAGCACAAAGAAATTTCAAAAACTAATTATAACGAGCGACACGTGACGTTATATCCGTTCTTACAGGCCCTCTCCCTCACCAGGCCCCTCCCTTACCTTGCAGCGTCTCCCTTCTGCCCCTCGTCCCGACCACAGCCCAGCCAGCTCCTCCCCCACCCAGACCCCCGTATTCGCCGACGACCACCCGAACCGCCCCAAATCTTGTAGTCCAAAATTCCAATAGGTCCATTATTAGGCGATGGGTCCACCGCGATCTCTGATTCTTCACCGGCTCGCGCCCTGCTTTGCAGCTCGAATCAGGCAGAACCAGAGGCTTCTATCCTCTTCTTTCTTCTATTCCTCTTCCTCTTCCGCTGTCGAAGAAGCCTCTTCTTCTTCTCCATCTCCGGCCCTCGACCTCGATTCCGTTCACATGACCGATACCTGTGTTCAAGTAATCCCTCTCTCCATCTCCTTCCCTTTTTTTGGGTGCGATTTGACATTTGGGCTGCCTGTATTTTCCATTTTTATTTTTGGGTTATTAATCTGTAATGGTTTTAATTCTGTTGCTTAGCTAACCATTTTCGATGATTTTATGAATGAATCACAAAATAAACACGGGCAAGAAAAAAAATGAAATGGGTTGTGCTAATCGGAATTTTTTTCTTCAAAATTTCTAGTGGATGCACGAAGACTAATCGGCTAAACGGTTTTATTCTAGCATATAATTTGCGTAGCATATCTGTTTTTCGTTCTTATTGAATCGGTTATCATGCTCGTAATATGCAGTTTTCTAGTAAAGAGAGTTTAATGTAACTTATGACATTTTGCGTCTGTAATCCTGAATAGTTTTGTTGAGCTTGGTTTTTCAACGAATATTTTGCGTCTGCAATCCTGAATTGTCTTGCAGAGAATGAAACAGCTGCAAGCGAGTGAAGTTGAGGGAAAGATGCTACGTTTGAGTGTAGAAACTGGTGGATGTTCTGGGTTCCAATATGTTTTTGATCTCGACGACAAACACCACCCAGATGACAGGTATTTATAGTCCATCTCTGTAATAATAATTCTTGATTAAAAACGCTTTTGCTTATTAAGTTTGCTTGGTTAACTGGGGACCCATACATTCCATAATAGAGTATTTGAGAAGGAAGGAGTAAAGTTGCTGGTCGACAATATTTCATATGATTTTGTGAAAGGAGCAACTGTTGATTATGTTGAGGAGCTGATTCGCTCTGCTTTCCAAGTAAGTCAATTTATCTCATTCTGTTTTCATGCTTTATTCTTTAATATTCTTGTCCGTGGTGCACATCAAATTTTACACACATCACCCCACATGTAATTTCTCGGTTCGGGATATGTGAACTAGAATAAGTAGTCAATAAATATATTCTTAAGAATTGAAGATGTGCTTGAAATTCTCTGTTAACTATGCCTATCTTGGTGAGCATAAGAAAAGTATGGACCATCTGCCAGTGGTCTTCTTTTATGACAATTAGAAATACATTCTGTTATAATCGAAGATCTGCTGAAATCTTTTCTGTTAGCTAAATGATGTGTATAATGTTGAGCATCGGTGCATAAGTAAGAACCACGTGCTAGATATAAAAATCTAGCATAATGGTATTCTCTGTATCAAATATAACAATTATAGATATTTGTCTAGGTCTTGGCTCACCTTGGTAAACTGGTGGTCATGTTAGAAAATATCATAATGGTTCCCTTGACGATTTATCCAATAATTCAGTGAGCGTGTTTACCATGCAAGGAACATATCATTGTGATACACTAGTGGTCTTGTTTGGGTGTTTCCTTTATTTGGATCACTTGCTATATTTTTTTTCTTCTAATTAGGTTGCAGTAAACGAGAGACAATTGGCAATGCAATACAGTGCTCTTCTGTCATGCCACATAATGGTTGTTACTGGTGTTGTGTGGTCAAGGTGAACAAGGGTTCTTTTCGTTTCGGGAGGGGAGTTACAATAAAGAAAATTTTATAAGAATTGAGAGAACGTTTTTGTATGTGAATGAGTGGGAGGTAATTGATTAGGAAGAGCCATAAGGAATGGAAGAATCTTGCAGTGAGTTCAGTTGGGATATGGAAGCTGGGTTTCTCGGTTTTGTTCTTTTAAATGAGTGGACTATGTTACAGGTGGGATTAGGAGGAAACTTACCCAGGCTATAGAACAGGGGTGCCTTTAACATGGCTATGCCCTTGTGTGTGGTTGCTTAGATTTGTTGTATACCCCCATTACGGGTTTGGTCAAACAATATGGGGATGTTTAAAGTCTGAAATCTGCTGAATCCCTTCTAAATTGGGTAGGACAAGACTCTTATGGTGTGTTTGGATGAGGGATTTCCAAAGTACCAAGGGATTTAGGCTACAATAGTAAAAATGCACTACAAAGCATTGGATAGAGGGATTTGAAACGACTAGATGCAATGCACTTAGAGGGTTTGTAAATGACTACCTGACAGGAGTCAATTGAAAATTCTATGTTTAGTGGCCGTTGTAATGCTGTTCCATTAGTATATTGGTCTTGCGGAATGGAGCGAAGTAGTAAAGCTAGAGCCTAGAATTTGGTTGTAACTCATTAAGATTGAAGATCCACAGAAGCAATTTATTTCTGTATTTGCTCTTCGTTGGTTATAGTGTGTCTGATGCCTCAAGAGGAAGCATCTTGTATGATTATGCGATTGCCTGTATGTCTGTTTTTGGGTCGTATCTTTATGATGCTGAAGTAGTGTAATCAAAGTCAATAGCCTCTAGGCCGCTAGAGAAGTGCAGTTATAATATCACCTCTTTCACACGAGGATTTCCTGTACAATTAATCGAATCCTGGTTTCATGTTCAGGTGACTACAAATCCAAGTGCAGTCGGGGGGTGCAGTTGTAAAAGTTCTTTCATGGTGAAATAATAGTTTTGCCACGACTTTTGTGCCCTGCCTTCCAAGGTAGCTTAAGACTAGGAGGTAATTAGGTCTGTCCTAATAGGTGCTTACATATAATTTTTTCACTTGATTTTTTGAATCATGATTATTTGAGTACATTGTATAATAAAAAGGGTTTATCACAAATGGTTCCTGAATCAAGATGGTCTCTGAAATTGAAAATCAATCAATGTAGTCCCTGAAAAAAGGTGTCGCAAATCAATGTAGTCATTCCATCACAATTATGTTAAAAATTATGTTAAAGTGCTGATGTGGCACATAAAGGGGGTCCCATTACTCTTTTTCTCTCACAAATAGTCCTTGAAATTGACAAACGACATTAGTGTTCTAAAAATTGGCCTAGGCGGCACCTAGGCTCTGGACGACAGAGCTCTGATCCGATTTTGACCAAATTGTTCACTTAAGGCGGAAATGATTTAGGCGGCCGTCTAGGCGGTCTAGGCGGCGCTAGGCGCCACTCTAGGTAGTTGCAAATCCCAAACGCGCAACAACTTTGAATTTGCAACTTCCGATCTCAGCGAGCTTCTGCAGCTTTGCTGTTTGTAAGTAGATGAAGGAAGAGAGAGTACGCCCATAGAGAGAGAGAGAGAGAGAGAGAGAGAGAGAGAGGGTATTTGACATTTCAGTTGTGGCGGTGCGACCGTGCGAGCTGTAGTTTCTATTTCACTTTGTGGTTCTGATTCTTCTGAAAGAGATAAGAAAGAGAAGATGAAGAACCGAACTGATTTAATGGGAAATTGGGAAGGTGTTTAACTTTATTTGGGCTCAGGTAATGTGAGAGGTGGAGTGCACGTTCAATGGATTTTAATTACACAACAACCCACTACGTGGGCTTTTATCTTTCAAAAGTTTATATATATATGTATGTATGTATGTATGTATGTATGTATGTATGTATGTATGTGTGTGTATGTGTGTGTGCGCGTGTGTGTGTGTATTAATGTTTTATCTAAATGCCATATGAGTTATTTAGTCTATACCCAATCTAATGCAAGGATCATAAACAAGAATAATGTAGTCTATCATTTAAGAATACTTCTCATTATGATTATATACTTACCATTTTTTAAATATTGAACTTATTGGATGGATGTACTTTGTGTATTAGTTTTGTATTTTATCATTATTTTATTATCTATACAAGTATATATATTTTAGTGTAAATAACTACTCATTTAGAAGATATATAGGTGCCCGCCTAGGCTCCGCCTAGCCACCTAGGCTAGGCCCTTGCTCGCCACCCGACTAGCGTCTAACGTTTTTTAAAATCTTGAACGACATCAAAATGGTTCCTGAAATTGATCCGCGACGTCAAAATGGTCTTTGAAATTCAAAATTGATCAATGTAGTCCCTCAAGTAAGTGTCCTAAATCAATGTAGTTCTTTTGTCAAAAAATTTGTTATGTGCTGATGTGACACATAAATAGGTCACACAAGTTTAATTAAATTAAATAAATTACAAATAGGTTTAATAATTTAATTAATAAAAAATTGTGAATCCAAAAACCCAGTCCTACAATCACCTCCAATCCTAGTCTACATTTCTCTACCTCCTTTGTTGTCTATTATATAAAAAAAAAATTTCTAAATACACCCATATGTACACACTTCAACATTCTTCGCCGAATTGAACTTGGATTGAGATCACCATTGGTGACGGCTTAGTTGATTGACAATGACTTCTAGGACACCACCATTAACATTTAGGTGATCAACATCCTCACAACCTTACTTTTGGGGAGCTTGTTTAATGCTTCCCTGGTGGTCTGGTGACTCAAAGAACGGCAAGGTCTGCCTTGAAATAATGAAGTTATAATTGAGGTGCGTCTATTGTTGATTGAAAACTATTTTCAAACCCCTTCTTAGGCCTCGGTTAAGCCTTGTGCGTTTAAGAATTTATGGAAGGGATCTGTCTTCGGAGTATGTCCTATTATAAGAAAAAAAATTCTATTGTGCAAAAAGGTATTTAGACAACTTTTTTAATTAATTATTAAACCCACATCAACACATAACAAATTTTATTTTACAGAATTGTCGCGGAATGATGATATTAATTTGCGACACCTATTTTCAAGGATTATATTCATCAATTTTCAATTTTAGGGACCATCTTGATGGTGTGAGTCAATTTCAAGGACTATCTTAATGGTACAAGTCAATTTCAGGGACCATTTGTAATAAAAACCCGTAAATCTTGTAGGGCCTATTATGTGCCACATCGGCACACAACATAATTTTTAACAAAATTGTGACGGAATGACCACATTGATTTGCGACACCTATTTCGGGGGCTACATTAATTGATTTTGAATCTCAATGACCGCCTTAATGGTGAATGTAAATTTCAGGAATCATTTGTAATAAAAATCCTAATTTTTTTTATGTATTACACATTTTTACCACGTATATCTGATTGAGGCATCTTGTACTCTTCTCAGCTTTCTGACTTCAACAGTAGACGAATGCTTGCGAGTTGCAACTTGAAATTTGTTGGATTAGCCGCCATGCTACTTGTTACTTTTACTTGAGTTGGGATTACAGTACATTGCGGGGTTTCGATGATTGCCTATTTTGATGATGTGTAGCCGCATAGATCAATAGTTACTGATTGTAAGGAAGTGAAGGTACTTCAAACTTCATGTTTAATTCTGATGCCGAAGTGTCACTTAGTATTACGATTTAGTGGTATTCCTCTTCACTTGTAAGTGGGAGGTCTTAGGTTCGATTCTAACCAAAGATGAATATGAATCACATTATTATGGCTAACTTAGTGTGAGGTTTAGTCTACTCTTTCACCGCTTAGTATAGATACTATCGTTTTGTTAAAAGAAAAAAAAAAAAAAAAAAAAAAAAATCTGATGCCGAAGTTTTATTTTTGAAGCATCGAGACCTTACTGCAAAGCAACTCTTTCCCGCTCTATCAATATCCAGAAAATTTGGTTACGCTATTAGCCTCACAAACCACAATTCCATACTTCACATTTCTTGCTAGTAGCCTCCTATAACGTACACTTCTACGTCCCATCCGGTACCGGTTCCTAACAGTACAATGAGCATTGCTTGTATAATACTGTACGACTTGATCTGGTCTCCAACCAATGGCAAAGATAGGAATTGTTGGGGATAGGAGAAAATTTTAAAAGGGTAAAAGGTTCTAAAGAATGTAAACAACTAAATCTTTTTCGATAGTAGGACAATATTAAAGTTGTTCTTGATTTCTCAATACAAACAAGTTATAATTATTGCCGGCGAAATTTTATGTCATGAAAACGTCGCATAATAACCTTATTATCAATAAAAACAAAAATCTATGTTTTAATGTAAACAATTAAGCTATCACTCAACTATTAATCTCCCATTTTGTAACGCAATGGCCTTTTAACAATATTCATAGCGAAAAATGCTCTCTCTACCAAAACGGTTGCAACTGGTAATACTAAAGTCAATGTAATAAGCTTATACACTAACTTGTAGGTTTCACACCTCTTGGTCTTCACTAATTCTTTTGAAAGATCAATAATTCTTTTCAATGATGAAAACTCAATATGCATCTCCATATCATGAATATAATTGTTAAGTTGAATTGGAAGATTCATGAGGTCCACACAATCAAAATCTTGAGTATAAAATTGGCAAAACGAATTATTTTTTGTTGGTCAAAAAATGCAAAATTATTCACCAGACCCAAACATGCCATACAAAGAAGCAACGCGGTATTTACCTCATTGAAGCAATTATTCAATTCTTTTAGTTGCGTAGCAAGGAGGATGAGTGCTTAGCTTCTTATAATATCACTCCATTATGTAATTGTAGAAGTACGACTAATAACTAATTAAACAACAATTCAATTAACAATATAAATCAATGAAATTAAACTAACAAAAATTCATATCAATAATAAACCATCAATTAATTTAAATTATGTAAATGAAATAATATAAATTTAATGTCAATCAAAATTGTTAAAAAAATGTCAATCAAATAAAATTAGGGATTTAAATAATTAAGATTTTGAAATTTGGGATTTTCCTAAAAATTGAGACTGGACGGTGGCCGCCGTCCCCAGCGTGGACATGTGAAGGCGACAGCGCGTGGTGTTCAGATGGCAGGACGGCGGTGGGGCGGAAGAGACATTTGCTGCCTTGCTGTTGACTGTCGCTCTCTCCAATGGCAGACCAAAGGTTCTGCCTCTTTGTGGAGCCGAATCGTTGAGGTAATGCTTTGTGAAACCATTTTTGCATCAACAAATCATTGTGAAACTCTAAAACTTGCCGCATTAGTAACCCACGACTAAACCAATCCACCAAGTAAGGTCGGTCGGGCACAAAACATATCAAATGCATTCATACGAGCTCAAACTCAAACTTATTTCACCCAAGCGTAAGTGGAGAATACTACTGGACTAAAAGGGCGTTAGTCAGAAAGAGAGATGCCACTAGACCAAGTGTTTGTTAAGAAATCCTAAATCGCGGTTGAAGAACGTATTTAATACAATATACACTCAATTACAGGGATAAAGAATTACACAAAAAACAGGAAAAAAGGGAATGGGGAAGACGGTTTTCGGATTATAAATCAAGCTGATATTGGAGGTAATGCTCACCAAGAAACAGAAACATCTTGTGGGAAAATAACGACTTTACAAAAATCTGGCAGGACTGCAGGAGAGCCATATCTCAGATGATACTGTAGCTGTCATCACCATCACTCGTCCGAATGTAACACATTATTGCCAGTACAAATACGAAAAAGGATGAGAGCTCCATTGCCAAGGCTCCCCAACCAATAACACCAGCATGTTTTAAGATTGCAGGGATTGCAATGCTTCCAATAGCTGAAGCTCCAGTCAGGAACTTGGTTGCATTTACCCAGCTGTTTCATCATCCCTTAGTTAATAAGCGAGTAAGAACACGAATAATGTTGATGCAGCCTTAGACTTAAACGATAGATATTTCAGTTTGTAAGTTGAGGGGAGAAAGACAAACCCATTTTCAGATTCTGAAAATATTGAAGAATCGGATCCCACAAAGAACAGCAATGGCATGGGAAGGAGCACATACATTATTACTGCAAAACATCATGAGATGACCACACCATCAGCGTGCATGGTTTCATGCAAATCATTCAAATAAAAACCTACATGCAGAGGATGTTCACTGGACGGAATTAAGATTCTTGAGAAATGTAATATTTATCTTGTTTTAGTAATTAAAAAAAAAAGTATGTTTGAACAGCCCAATGATGACAATGTAACACATGACTCTGATACCAGCAAATAAGTGGACGATATGATCGTGGAATTCCATTCCTTGCACATTATAGTGCTTAGAAAGCTATTATGTCTAATTACAGCTTTTGCATATATAGCAGAATTACTAATTACCTTAAACCATTAATCGAATAGAAGCATTAGCTGTGCAGAATCATCGAATCCGTTACCATATACAAGAAAGCAGAAATATCCAACCCTGATTTATTCCTGAACCTATCTTCGTACATGTTGCTAGATGTCGTTTAAAGCCACCATCTAACCATATCACTATCCTTTTACCACCTGACCGAAGGCTCAAAGGCTCTTGTTTCTAATCAGGGCAAGACAAATATGAAAAAATTAAAAAATAAAATAAAACATATTCAGATCTATTTTATGGATTTGAGTTATGGGAATTAAAGGAATAATAATTTTGGGAAAAAGGAATAGAACCCTTAAAGATTATTTCTTAAAGGAGCTAGAGAATAAAAAATTGAAATCTTTATTAGTACTGTCATACTTATTGTCTTACAAACACATCAACATGTAGCATCACATAACAGCTTATTTGGCCAAAAGAAAAGGTATCACATTGCAAGTTTACGAAGGAAAACAACAGTTCAAAACCTACCAGTTAGCATTGGCCACCAATTATTGTACAAGGCACATGCCTGCATCGAAAAACGTGATAGATGAGAACCTAGTATGACTATCAACCTTACAATAGAGAAAAGCTTACTGATACACATGAATTGAGCATAATTGACAAAAGAAGCACTACCCACCAAAATTTGCAATACAATTCCTCCAGAGACCAAAATTGCCAAGGCGGCAAGTTTTCCAGTGTGCAAGCAAGCACGCATATAGACTGGTAAGTCTGCCATCAGGTACTTACCGCATAGATGGGGAACGCCTGAAATCACGTGGTGCTTAAAATAAATATCTCAGCAAATTGACAATAGTAAATAAAAGAAAGCAGTCCATAAATAAACAAAGTACACGAAATATTCATAAATCATACAACTCACGCCACAATGATCAAGGAAAATGAAGAAGAGACTCATCATAAAAAACTAACAATTAAAAATTCCATTCATGTAATGCTTAAAGTTTGCTATGAAATAATAATTTGTTGGTCACCTACTTTGACTCTGTTAGGTCTAGGAAGTAACCACTAATATAATCTGACTTCTCAGGCATTCTTTCAATAAGTGTAATTCTTTATTAAGTTGAGGATCACTCAAACAAATCATACATACAAAGTAATGAAAAATGGTGGTGCTATAGATACACATATTAAAACTGAAACATGATGGACAGAATGAAAACTATTTATCCTATGCAAGAAAAGAATCCAAATAGTTTAAAGACAACTTCCGTAGAACTGTTATTAGGCCTAGCAATTCTTTGCAAGGTCACTCCAGTTTGAGATAATGGAAGGATGACAATGATTTTATGGGTAAATTGATGATTTTAATTCGTTTCACTCGAGTAATCTGGGATGTACAGATTCTAGAATCCCCTTCTATGCTCATTCCCCATAGATCAGCATCAATCTCTGAATGTTAGTACATAAGTATTGAGTAAGCTACGGAACCACCCTGAAGCATGGCATACATGTACGTGTGTGTGGCGATGTTATTTCTCTTGCTTGAGATTTCCTTCATAACTATCATGACTTATTACTTACCTAGTAAATGTTCAACAATTGCAAAATCATTTCAAAATCTACAAGACATGTTATTTGTTCCACAGAGACCCACAGCTAAAGAACTGCCTCCAGTGCCTATTTCATACTCCTACATACATACACATACATAAAGAGTTCATGTGCCAAGGCAAGATGCTCCTCATTGCCGATCACCGGATCGATGACCACGATATATAAATACACATAGTTCAGACCTAATATGCAGCTAAGGAACCACACATCCCAGTCTTTTGAAGTTGGTAACAATGCATGTAGTAAAAAAATAGACTTACTGCAATTTACATGTCAGATACAAAGACAGAAAACCAACAACATCAAATGAAAGATGAATTCCAGAGTTTCTTGCATAAATATCTCGAAATTACTATTCATATTACCCATCAAACTTACTAATCTGAACCACCTCAATCTTAGTAATACATATATAGCATAACAGTTTCTCATCATTTAATCACGAATGCTAGTCCAAATTTATATAATCTCATTCAGAACAAACACAATTCCAACAAAATAATTCTTAATACCTGAATTATACATCTTAATAAGTAATACATATTAACTCAATCTAGTGTGTTCATATTATGCATATCTGTGTTCATATTATGTATATCATCAAATCAGGGTTAGGGCTAGGGTTAGGATTCTAACTCCTAATAAGAGTATCCATTCCTTGATCTATCCAGTTAAATCCTAAATTAATCCAAAAATATTCATTATCCATATTAAATAATGACAATTCTTCAACCATAATGCAATCACAAAGCAAGGTTGAAGAATTTACCTTACTTGTTACTTCAATCAATCGGGCTCAGCCATCCGATTCCGAGGCGGCGAAAACGGTTGGTTGGTGATTCGGAGTCCGTCCGGAGTCGACAGCTGAGCTTAACTCTAGAACAAGAAAGAACGATGAAGACAAAGAATAAGATGAGAGAAGGCTGACGCCAGACGGGAAAAAGATTACCCGAACAAGAAATGGATCGGGGCTCCACAATTTCATTTTTGCTTCAGAATTCGGACCTCAACAATAAGTCTTGGATCGCACGTGATGCCCATTTTCTCCTAATGTATTTTGAACCGGGATCCTCGCCGGATCCATTCCCTAGGGATCCTAAGGATCACGCAATCGTGTTCGTATATCGTGCGGTCAGAAATTATTTAAATTTTAAATTTTAAAATTCAAATTAAATAGTACCTAACGAAAACTGACCTCAAGATATACGATAAATGGACACGATTGCGTGATCCCTAAGATCCCTAGGAAATGGATCCGGCGAGGATCCTGGTTCATGTATTTTCTCCTTTTTCTCAACTTAAAACTACAGCCTGTCAGTATTCTTCTTTATTTATAAGTGAGAATTATTAGGTTTAATTTTCACAAAAAACGAATTCGAACCTCATTATTTCTAACTCATTGTGAGGCTAAAACTCACCTCATCTCCTTTAATGTAGATAATATTGTTTGTTCAAAAAAAAAAAATCAATAATCAATAAGACACATTGTGCCTTCCACTGTAAAGGCTTACCATTTTTATGATGTCATCCTTATATTATCATTGTGTGATCATTATGTTATTTAGGCCTGCCAAACGGGTCATGTTTGTCGTATTCGTGTCATTATCATGTAATACTTGTTATCTTAACGGGATCGTGTCGTGTCACACCCATTATCTTAACGAGTTCTTAACAAACAGGTAAAAATAACTCGATCCGTTATGACCCGTTAAGAAAAATCTTTTCTTTTATTTTTCCTCTAAATTTGCACATATCACATTGCCAGATAAATACTACTTCAAACATAAAAGATCAAATGCGCATGATATGCAAAATGAAGGAGTTTTTCTTTTCAAGGTTGTGAAGCTTTTCTCAGAAGTTAAAACCTTGCCAATGAAACTCAAAGCTTGCATGTTGTTTTTTTTTACAAAATACTTCAACAATTACCTCGATTAGGGCTCAAGATTCGCTCAATCTAGAGATAGATTAGAGGCAAAAGTAGCTGATGAATCGGTGGTGGGTTACTAGGTCATATGTGGTGACAGTATTGACAAACCTCGACCGGAGTCGAGACGTGCTGGCCGTCACGTGAGGGTGACGTAGCCAAGTGTGCAATAGAAGTGATAATAATGTGAATAAATAAAAAAAAACAAAACAAAACATATTTAACTAGAGATAATATGTAAGAGTGTGAAAGTGATAAAGTATAAGATAAACGCATATCAGAGCATAGGTAAAACCAAAGTGCAGTCGAACTAACTAAGTACTAATTATACAAATAGGGAGAAGATCCCTACTTTTATTTAGTAGAACGTCAGAATCACTATGTAGTCCTCGTGAGCCACCAATGATGAACAGCTACATAGAACCTGGAGGGGCATAAAATAGAAGGGTGAGTGGGCAAAAACAAAGCGTTTGAAAATGTATTTATCTTTATGAACATGATAACCCCTCTCCGTAAAACCCGTATAGTTTCCAGAAAATACTACTACGTAGGTATGAAAACCAATGCACAAGAGTAGTGAAAACTGAAGTATGCCATGTCGTAATATCTTAGCAATAATAAATGTAATCCAGGTGTGGAACCAATGTAAAATAGTATGCCAATCGGAGTCACTTAACATGACCTGTACAACTGGACTTGTAGCTCATCAATCTAGGCTAGCACACGAGTCAGAATCACCTACCTGTACGACAAGCTGGGTATAAAAATGTACGGTCAAGTGCTACAATCATGTGAAGGCTGTGTGATAATTCGCGGGTCACGTACGAGTTGGAACCACCTATTGTGGTCTGTACGACAGGCTGGCACCAAACTTGGATCTAAGGTGAGCGTGCGGTGTAGGAGGTGAACAATCATGTGAAGGCTGGCCCTAGCCCCAGGTGGGAGCACTAATACTAGGGTGCAACCATGATGAGCTCTAAATATATGTGTGCATACCAATGCAATACAACCCATTCAATCACATAATACTCACCTGAAGCTTACCTAAGTCTCCATAGCATCACACAATACAATGCACAAGTGTAACAATGCAATATTTAAAATGTAACTTATTTACGACATGGCAAGCAAAGCATAGTTCCATATAAAAAGTTTTTGAAAACTGTATATAAATATATATGTATAAATATATATGTATATATGTGTGTGTGTGTGTGTGTGTGTGTGTATAGAAAACAAATGCCCACTCACTGATAAGTAGTAGGATCGTAACCCCCTAGCTTCGCTTGTCCACGCTCGTCCTCGGGGTACATCTCACCTATATACGATATTATGTTAATTAATTAGCACATAAACAAAGCCTAGGATTAATTCGTCATACGTTGCTCAAACGGGATGTTTGAATATACCAACATGATTTACTCGACAACACGAACACCCCCATATTTTTAGAAAATTTTTTGGATGTTGGACGCGCCCTTAAGCGCAGGCACATGCCTAGCACACGGGAAGGAAACCCTAACGGCATTAGGAATATTCCGTTCAAATATCAGAATATTTCGTTAAACTCTAACGGTGTTACCTGACGCCGTTAGAATATTCCGTCAACTTTGACGGAATATTCTTTTTTTTCTTCGGTGGATCACGCCGGTCTTCCGCCGTCCACCACAGCCGGCTGCCGTCTGGTTCGCTGGTTTCTGGAAAATTTTCAAAGCTTAATATCTACGTCATTTCTCAACCAAAATCCATGAAATTTATATGGATTTGAAGGTCTTGAAGAGTAGAACACATTTGTACCTATTAGGAGTTCAAAATCCTGCAAAAAATGGTCGGAAAATTCCTTGGAAAATCCGGCCAATTTTGCAACTTTCCAAACTCGCCTATACCAACATTTGCTTCACTCCAAAACTATTCCAAAGTGTTAGGGAAGTTGGGTGGATACCTTTCCAAGCCTTAAAACATCGAAACCACTCCTGGATCTCGTTGGAGCAACTTGGTATGAGTCGATGGTCAAAATTCACCAAACTGAAACCTAAGGGTATGGCTAGGTTTGTGAGTTTGTGAGGAGTGTGATGGTAGTCTTTGTAGGTTCGATCCGTGCTATTTTGGTGTGGTTTGTGTGCGTGGGGTGTCTTGGGTGCAGAAGGAAAAAAAGAGAGGAGAAGAGTCGAGAAGGAGAGAGAAAGAGAGAGTGTACATGTATGTGTGTGTGTGGGTGTGTGTAATAGGCCAGAATCAGAAAATAATCTTTTCTGATTGGGTTGCCGTGAGAGAGAGAGATAGAGTTCCAATTGGCCCAAAGAAAGATAAAGGCCCAAAATCTGATTGGTTTAGAGATAATAGAAGCTGATATAATTGGACTTGTTTACGTATTCAATTAATCGTAACTTTTTCGTTACGAATCCAATTCGGCCCTAACTCACGTGACGTCGAGTACGATTTAACTACGACGGCGAGGAAATAATTTAAAACTACATATGTACATCCACGTCACTAAGCCAACGAGGCTAATATTGTCGCTTTACACACTAGGGGAGACAATATATATAATAATTTGGAACGGGTCGTCACAGTAGTGTAGTGGAGGGAGACTGGAGAGGGTGGTTGTGGACTCGTGGTTGGTTGAAGTTGAAGTTCGAGACTAAAATTCAAGAGTTCAATTCGAGAGAGAGAAAGAGAGCGGCTGCTTTGATTCGCCAATCAATATTTTGAGAATCAATATCAGGCAAGCGATGGAAGATATAATATGTCCTAGTCATTACCCACTCTCCACCTAATTCCCTTAAAAATGACATCCTACTCTTTAAAATGCTCTTCCAAGCTAGAGAATAATTTTGTCGAACTTTATTACCCAAAAAATACTCATCTCAAAGGTACTTACTCTTGACCAATGTCACCCACAAATTATTCTCATCCGTTAGAACCTTCCAACCCAACTTAGCTAGACAAGCATTATTAAACTGATCCAGACGCCTAACTCTAAGGCCACTGAATTTCTTGGGAGTGTGTTGTACACACCCTATCCCAAGCAACAGGAAAAATCTTCCTATCCCTACCCCAAAAGAAATCCCTGCACTCCATATTTAGCCTATTCAAAATTTTATCCGGGCATTTAAAACAAGACATAACATGGTTAGGCATACCTGTAAGATTTGAGTTAATAAGGGTAAGTCTACCCGCCTTAAAAAGGGTGTTTGCCTTCCAACCTGCTAGCTTTTGCTTAATCCCTTTTAACAGCTCATTCCCATTAACTTGATCTTTCCCAAATACAAATGTTATAAATACCAAGGTACCTAGCAATAGTTGTTTTGTGTTGGATTTGTAAAATATTAACAATATTATTTCTGATTTGTGAGTTAGTAATATTTGAACAACAAATGGATGACCTATGGAAATTAATATTTTGCCCAACCGCCTTAGCAAAAGGGTTCAAAATAGAGAGAATATTTCGTGCTCCCTTGGGGTAGCCTTAGCAAAAAGCAAACAATCGTCAACAAAAACTAAATTAGAGACCCTAAGGCCCGGGGAGACGATAAGAAACCAACATGGGATTTAGTACTATTAACCATCACATTAAGATACCTAATTAATGGTTCCATACAAATGATGAAAATGTAAGGCGAGAGGGGATCCCCATGCCTAATACCGATCTTTTAGATTTTATTCTGCAAATATACCATCGATATATTTTATTTGTAAAATCTATGTCATCCCATGGAGTTTATACAAATGATATTGGATGAAACCAGATGGAAGTATGAGTTACAGCATTCATGTTTGTAATGGCTGACAATCACCAAACTCCAATGGAACTATGATATGAAATTGCCTATGAATCAACCATAGGCAACAATTCTCAATTTTAATTTACAAAATCAAAGAAACAAACATTAATCATCAAAATTATCTCCTCAATGCAAAATGCATATCCGGTTCAAAATTGATCAGTCAATCTTCATCTACTCTTCGCTAGCAGCCTTGGCGCTCCGAAAACCCTTCTTCAACTCAGCAACTCTCTTCATACAAGCAGCCTTCGACTTCCCGGGCACAGCAGCTGCAATCTTCTCCCACCTCATTGACACTTCCTTTGGAAATGCCTTCAGGGCATTGAACAATGCAATGTCTTCAGTAGAAGCCCAACTCTCTTTCTTCACTTCACCATTTTCCGCCATCAACTCATCACCCATCTCTAGATTCCCACTTTCAAATTTCTTGTCATTGGGCTTACGCTTCTTCAAGAACTCTGCATATGAATCTGAATCACTCACTTTCTTCTCTCCCAATTCTTTGGCCTTCTTGATCACACTCTCCACCTTATGCCTTCCTTGAAATGACTCGGCAATAACCTCCCACCGTCTCAGCTTCCCCACCGGGTGCTTCAACAGCAGTTTCTTTAAAAACTCAGCATCCTCCTCAACCCACTCCATCTCTTCACCAAAAACCACTGACCCATTACCATTACCTTCGGAAGCCTCACACTTTTTCTCTTCTCTCAAAGACCCACCAACAGTTTCGGCCACCGGCATCGAATCTGTCCCCAATTCATCAAACCGACGCAGTTTTGATCTCTTTTGAGACATCCTCTTCTTCGATTCGTCCTCTACATGGGTTGCAATTTCTGGAAAGTCCATGACTGGGCCGTGACCAACCCGTATGTCACCACCAGTGACGGGTGCAGGAGCGAATCGGCTGATGAGGAGGGAGAGAGCGGCCCAAATGAGTAGAGATTGGTAGGGTTCATTTTGGGGGAAGAAGAAGGCAAGACCCAGTAACAGAAATGAGATCAAGACGGTTAAAAAAAAGAATGGTTTGCTGAGATTATTGTAATAGGGTTGTGGGTTTGCAGCAGAAGAAGCTACTGCTTTGGATTGGAAAAGGAACCTTGGCCTTGCGTCCTCATCCAAAAATTCCATTTTTGGATCTTAGAGCTAAAAGCTTTAGACACAGCTTTATATATATGCTACTAGTCCTTGTGGTTCTTCTGAAGGTCAAACGTGAAGGCTTTGCTTAGGAAGCATCGCTGAAAGGTAAAATAGGAAGGTATGTATCAATACTATCCAGCCTGTAGATGTAAAGAACAAAGAAATCTGAAAAATGAGCACCATAATCTGTTAACAGAAACCATGGTAAATAGCTAGACACTCACCACATAATTCAAAAAAGTAAACAGAAAGAAAACTTAACAAACTAAAGACTTTCACTCGCTAAAGCGTTAAGCCAATCAAATTGAACCTGTGAACATCTCCCATTCTTCTCCTTAAATGAAATTTGATAGCCTGCTCACTGTTTTCACTTTTCCTAGTGAATGGTAACACGCCAACTTCAAACTCATATTGATCAAACATTTTGGAAGTTAGAAATTAAATAAACTCGGAAAACAATTAAATGATCAATTATCATTACACTCCGAATCCACTAAGTAACTTTTGGGCACATCGAAGGGATAGAGAATTGAATGATAAACAATCAAGCTGCATGGTCCAAATTGGAACTCAATTCACTCGTTACTCTATAAACTTAAAATCATGTTAAAACTAGTAAAAATGCAAGTGAATCTTGAAAAAGCTCCTTAAGTAACTAGTGCTTTCATCAAAAACGTTTTCAGTCATTTTAAAGGCACTTCCAAACAAAAATGTCGAATGTTACAAAAAGAAAAACTTTGTGAGTATAATGTTAATTTGTAACACCTGAGACCTTTGCGTAGTATTTCAATCTCGTTTTTCACATATACTATATACAAGAACAATACACAAGGGAACTCAAAACGAATACACACAATGATACAATGCATCCATGTAAATTTACTACATACATGCAAACTAATCAAATTTGTTTTCTTTGTTCAGTAGGAAAAAGGGCATTGATTCTACAAGTCCTTTCACCGAAAATAAACACAAACGTTTATATACTGCAGAATTACTGGGAGAGGGTTGATAATAAGATGAGATGAGCAAATACAACAGTTCCACAATTTAATACTCTAAATAAATAAATAAATTGAAAATTCAAATTGTAATCGTTCATCAATTAGATTAGCAGCAGAAGAATCAGAGAAAATGGAAATAGAGAGGTGAATAAGTTTAGGGAACGGAACCTCAGCCTGGAGAAGTTACCAGAAACACCCAAAAATGGGAGAAGGAGAGATGCGGCTGGAACCTCAGCCTGGAGTAGATCCAGTTGGACTCAGTCTGTGAACGGAACCGACAAGATTGAGATTTCAGAGACGTCTGATTTTGTAGATCCGGAGACCAAAATAAACCAACCACGCGACGTCGTTCCCGTTTTTCTTTAATTTATTATGGCCAAATCGGATAAATAATTATATGGTGTACTCCGTTAGCAAATTTAGTCCAAAACTGATTTTTTTATTAATTATCTGTTAATATATGTTAATATATGTGTAAAATTGTAAATTTAGTCTAAAACTGATTTTTTTTTTATCAATTATCTGTTAATATATGTTAATATACGTGTAAAATTGTATTTTGACATGGGCACTCTTCCTCGTCTCTCTGCTCTCTCTGTAATTTGAATTTTCACAAAACCAGTTCTGAGAAAGCCATCATTGAGATCGGCAAGAAGCTTCAAGACTGTCCTCTTGTTGCTTTCTACGAACAGCAAGAAAGCCGTCATTGAGATCTCCAAGTTCCCTTCGGGCTCTCTGCTGCTTCAGAACAAACCTGTAGAAGAAGGTGAAGTTGTTGATGATGGCGATGGTCACGTGCGGGGAATAATGGATGAGGTTCTCGGTTTCTTCACTGAGATTTCGGTGATGCCGGACTGCTTGACCGACTTTCCTACAACGCTTGACCATGGTAAAATTGCTGAATTTCACTCCAAATTGAATGCAATATTGGTTTTGCCTATTTTCTTTGTGCCTGTTGCTTTAATTTTTTAAAGAAGTTGTGGAGAATTGAAAAGAAATCACGTTTCTAGGAGGAAGCTTTGATTTGTTTTGAAGAAATCGAATTTATTCGAAAGCTGTTATGATGATTTTCGTTCGGTTCGATTTTGTGTTCTACTTTTGTAATGGTAGATACCGGAGTTGGAATCAGGGACCTCTTAATTTGTTTGTGATTGCGATACAACAATTGACAAGATAATTTGAAACAAATTAACATGACATTTGTGTTGGCAAGTTTATGCTGATTGAATTTGAACCAGACATGGTGTTGTACAAATACAAATTACGGACCTTCTTCTTATCCATACTTCTCGGACATGGTGTTGTGAAAGTACAAATTACAGACCTTGTTCTTATACAGTGGACATTATAAAGACGAGGAAGAAGAAGGTGCACACGTCAAAGTACAATATTACGGATGTATTAGTAGATAGTTAACGGAAAAATCACTTTTGAACTAAATTTGCTAACGGAGTACACCATAGGGGTTTAAATCCGAGTTTTTTTATATCACAGGGGCTATCTTTCAAATATCTTATGGCCACATGGATCATTTATCCAATTTGACCTTTACTTATTTAGTTAAGTTTCTTTTGAGGAAATCAAAATTGCCTTATCAGTGCAAGTTTCTCTGTTAAGGATGGGTCATGTGAACGCTGTAAGCTGTTATTTATGGAGGGTATTAGATTCTTATTGAGTTTTATGTGATGAAATAGGGCGCAGGGTCCATATTATTAATATTCACTTTTAGTTTCGCAAAAAGGCCCAAAGGTAATTGGACAAAATTACCCCTAAAACAAAAAAAGATTACAACTTTGAATAAAAAATGGTTTCAGTTAATAGCATATTACACCACAAGGCTTGAGAGTCATTTGAAAAATGAAGCATGAGACTTCAATTTTCTGAATTGTACCAATTTAAGCTCTTTGTCAATTCAACCATCTAATTAGATGTTAAGTATTGATGTGATATAAACTTAACCTACATTTCAAGAACTCATGAACTGCCATTTTCAATATTTGATACCTTACTCTTTTAATCTTTTTATAAATTGACGGTCAATGTATGCTTAAACTATCTCTTTAATTTTAACTTCTTTTAGATTTTTTGTAACATTTTTATTTCATTTTGTTCGTTCATCTTTTTCATTTTTTTTATTTTTTTGTATCCAATTAATAGGTAGTTAGAATGTCACATTCCGGTTCGGGCTTCCATCACATCTTGGGTTCGACTCCACTATAGCATGATATTATCCGTTTTGGGCCCCGATCACACACTCACGGTTTTGTTTCTAGGAACTCACACGAGAACTTCCTAGTGGGTCACCCATCCTGAGATTGCTCTCGCATGAACTCACTTAACTTCAGAGTTCTGATAGAACCCGAAGCCAGTGAACTCCCAAAATGCCTCGTACTAGGTAGAGATAGGAATATACATATAAGGCTTACATGATCCACTCCCCTAGGCGATATGGGATGTTACATAGAATTTCGAAAATTTAGATTTTACAAATCAATCAAATAACCAACATTCTAGTTTAGACTGTATAGAGTTTCTTAGAGGCCATTTGATAATTATTTCATTATTTAGTTTCTGACCAAAATTTGAAAACTCAAAAAAGTGGGTTTGGATTTTTAATTTTCAGTTTTGTAGTGTTTTTTATAATTGAAAATAGTTGTCAAACTGGTTTTTAATTTTAATTTTAAAGAAAAGTAAACAGAATGTTAAAACCAAAAACTTGAAGAAAAAAAATAGTTATCAAACGTCTATTTAGTCCTACACTCTCCATCTTCTCCTAACTTGTGGTCAAGATTCTTGTTAGCAGGCATCATATCGAAAGATTTCTCAATGTGTCTAGAATATGAGGTGGTACATGGTACATCATATGTCACTATACAAGTGGTGGTACATTTGAAAAATTAAACTACCCTTCACTTATATAATGATATGTGGTTTACAAGTGATGGGTACACCGTCATGTGGCATGTCGTGCCAATAAAATAAGTACATGTAGATAAGAACTTACACACGTCTTTAACTGAACTATAAGTCTTTATTTCATGGAAAAATGAGTATTCGGTCCCTAGTTTCTAATGTTCATTGACTACTGAGACCTTATTAGTTTTCAAATTTTGATTCAAGTCCCTAGCATTAATGTGATAATGAAGTAACATGTTTATTACATAATTTTTTAATATAAAAATTAGTAATTAATTTAGGGTTTAATACTCACACCTTTATTAAACTCCTAATTAATTTTCAATTCAAACATTTCCAAAATAATAAATAATAAAATTAGATTAAGCTTGTGACAGCCCGTTCCGAAAATTTTAAAACGTACACGTGAAAAGACGATCTTGCCCCTAGTGTGATTTTTACGTTGTGTGGTTGTTTTGAGCTTGGTGTGGTTGGTTTTGCACCACACATTTTCCCCCACACATTCCCTTCACCCTTTCCCTGTCCCTGCACCTGTCCCGTGCCATTTTCCCCTCCATTTGTACGGACATACCTAGAAACCACCCAAATCTTCACAGATCGAAGAAACAAAGTACATATCCATGCTCGTGAGGTCCGTAGAAGTGCAACCATACCCATTTCAGGTAAGAATACCTTCATTTTCACGTCGAACTTGAGATACCCGATTTTTGGCACTGCTCATGCACACGTAAATTCTTATGTTTTTGAGAATTTCAAGCTTGTAGGAAGCTTGGTGAGGTCCTTAGGAGGCTCGGGGTGGTTCGTTTGAAGGTTTTGGACGTCGGGATCGTGAGTTTCGAGGTTGGCTAGAGTTGGTGGTGTTTTCCCGGCGAGATTTCGTGGATTTTAGCACTTGAAAGTGGTATGATTTTGTTCCTCTCGTTGTAAGCTTCATTTTGGTACCAATTTTGTGAAATTTGGTTGAAAAACGAAGAAGATAGGACGATTTGAATTTTTTCTCGATTTTCCGTTGCCGGAGCCTCGCCGGAGAAGACAACGGAATATTCCGTCAGTTTGGACGGAATATTCCTAACGCTGTTGACGGAATCTGTTAAAGTTAACGGAATATTCTTGACGGCGTTAACTAACGCCGTCAGTGTGCCAGGCACGTGCCTGCGCGTGGCTGGCGCGTGTGGCCGTGCCTTGGCCAGCGCGTGGGGGCGCGTGCGACGGTGAAAATTTTTTCTAAAAATATGGGGATGTTCCTGAGGTTGAGTAGATCATGTTGGTGTATTCATACACCCCATTTGAGCATTGTATGAGAAGTTATTTCATAAGGTTGGTTATGTACTTTAAAATTAACGTTTTTATAGTTGTTTCGCATATAGGTGATACCTATCCCGAGGACGAGCGCGGTCACTCGAGGCAAGGGGGTTACGACCCTTCCACATACTAGTGAGTGGGCTTTTGGTTTTCCATATATACCTATATACTTATGTTTTTCCCAGAAATTGATTTGAAACATTTATTCGTTTATATGCCATGCATTATATTGTCGTTTGTTTATGCATTGTTAGTTGCATATAGATATATGTATGTTTGGTGCTGCGGACGCACAGGTAGGTGCTAGGTGAGTATGATGTATGTTTACTTTCAGTAGTGATTTGAGATGTATAGAGAGCTCATAACCTGCACCCCCGGTGTCAGTGCTCCCGCCCAGAGTTGGGCGCAGTCCTTCACGTGATGTTCACCTCCTGCACCACACACTCATCTTGGATCCAAGTTAGGTGCACAGTCCTGTCGTACAGACCATTTTAGGTGGTTCCAACTCGTAGGTGACCCGCGATTATTCGCCCAGCCTTCACGTGATCGTAGCACTTGAGCATACTTATATTACACCCAGGCTTGTCGTACAAACCACTTTAGGTGGTTCCGACTCGTGTGCAGGTGTAGTTAGTGAGAGTGAGATTTGAGCTCTAGATTCAGCCGTACAGGTCACGTTAGGTGACTCTGGCTGACAGATTATATGACATTGATGTGATAGTACCTGAGCACTTGCATTTTACTTCGAGATTTTGGCATAGCATATTTTTGAGCATGACTTATATATATGTATCTATATTCTATTTTCTGGGAAGTATACAGGTTTTACGGCGAAGGGTTAGAACTTATTTATGAAATGGTTTTGAAAAGCTTTGTTTTTTCCCACGCTTTTGTTTTGCGCCCCTCCAGGTTCTAGTTGGCTAGCACGTTTGGTGGTTTCCCTTAGGATTTCCCCGGCATATCTGATAGACGATCACCAGTGTAGGACCACCTTCGGGTGTGCTTTTGTTGTGTCGTTTTCTCCCGGACTGCATTAGGCTTTCATGCTCTGAACTTAGTGTTCACACTTACGCTTGCACTCGTTCGATATTACTTTGTGTAAAGCTAGTTTTTATTTATTCGTACTATTTATATTTTATTTTATTAGTTTCCACACTGTGCACATGGTTACGTCACTTCCATGTGACGCCCAGCATGCCCTGATCTCGATCGGGGTGTGTCAAAGTTTGTACCTACTAGTTTATTTATTTATTTATTACTATTATTATTATTATTATTATTAAAAGGATTCTCAATTTTTTAATCTTAAATGTACCCATTCATATAATTTTTCACTTTTTTTTAATCTTAAATGTACCCACTCTTAAATATACCAATTTGTTATATGTAAAATATACCATTTTTTTAATATATAATCCATTCAATTTTTTTAATCCATTTTTAAACTCATATGGGTACATTCTTTTTCATTGATTTGAGAATGTATCCATGTCAAGTTCAATCGAAGAAATTTACTAATGTTATTAAGCTTGATATCTTTTATTTATATGGTTTTGAAGAATGTACCGTACAATAACTTTTTTTGTTAATTTTGGTGAATGTACCCATATATATATATGTGTGTGTGTGTGTGTGTGTGTGTGTGTGTATACACACACAATATAATAGAGTATAATTTATATTTTATTATTTTTAATCCACAAATTATGGGTTTTATTTAAAATCTCATTAATATAAACAATTACAAATTACAAGTTTTAATTTTTAATTTAAAAAATATAGGAACTTACATTATTACATTAATGTTAGGGACTTCGATAAAAAACTAAAAACTAACAAGGTTTCAGTAAAAAAATATTGATAGCTAGAGACCGCATCCAAAGTGTCACTTATTTCATTGTCTTTAAACCTCACCATGTGAAACGAAAAGGTTGGAAATAAAGTCCTCCGTATATATGAAACTTGGAATGTTTTGATCAACAAGGATTGTACGAAGAAAAAAGAAGGTCGGACGAGTCATAAATCATTAAAACTTGTAATTGTGATGAAATAAATAGACTAATAAAAATTAATATATACGGTGATGATGATTAGAATAAGGAATTCTGGTAACTAATTCTCTTATTCTTGGAAGCATGCATATACATTCATTCTTCCAATTTGCAAAACAAAACAGACAATAAGAAAAGGTCTTATTCTATTGCATACTTGCATATGTATGCGAAACTAATAAAAATTGATAATTAAACAGGATTAATGAAATCTGATCTGATCAGATCAGTTAACTTGAACTCCAGAGTCGTATGTTTTTCCAACTTTCCAGTCTTCTGGTATGTTGTTCTGAGGAACAACCCAAGTCTCGTAGTCGTCATCACTCAATAACATTCTTATTTGCAACGCTCCACTTGGTGGTGAAGTTGTTGTCCAAATTGCTCCATAACTCCTGTCCCATACTTTGCATACAAAGTTTTTTGTCTACACCAATTTTTAAATACTACAAGTTAATATACATGTAATGATGTTGGTGATATAATTAATAAGAACGAATAAAAACTAGTAATTAAGCTGGGTTGATAATTATGAACAAGAGTTTTGTTAGCAATAACAGATAATTAATTACAAACAAATGATTTTATTTGGTCTATCCAGTATTCTAAAAATCGACCTAGGCATTTGAGTGGTGGCCGGCAAGATTAACTCATAATTGGGAGCAAAATAGGGACAGGGATTAGGCAGTCGCTGACACAGCCTAGGCGGGCAACTGAGTGGCCTAGGTGGTCCAAGAATTTCAGTTTTGTTCTGTTTTCAAGAATGCAGATCAGCTACGTTCTTGCCTTTCTGAGTTTCTGGTTCTCTATTTGGCGAAGAGGAAGAGACGAAGACCACTCTCATACTTTTTTAATTTAATTTTTTTTCTTAGTTTCTATCCAATCAAGTTTGGACAGCTATCATCAAGTTGCTTGCTTTTTGTAAAAAGCCATAGGCTGTCAAGCCCTAGCATATTGTTGATTTTTCTCATAAAAAATGATGGGGCGTTGATGCGAAAATTATACGCACACAAATTAAACCCTCTTTTTGACAATTGTAGTATAAGTATAAGTAGGGATCGTTCTAGACCGGGGATTAGGAGGGATTGTTAACCACTTGGATTTGACTCAAAAACGTAAAATAACAATATGAAACACTATACTAGACTCAAAGAATGCAAAACTAAACTTTAAAACACTAAAACAAACCAAAAGACTCAAACATCACCCAAAACACTCAAAACTGCCTTAAAATCACTTTCTGGGCAGTTTTGAGCACTTTGGTGAATTTGGACGAATTTATGTAACAAATTGAATCACAACACTTATAAACACAAACTAAATTGATTTCTAACTAATTTGACAAGAAAGTAAAGGGGGATTTAGGTTTTGACGAATTTAAACTAAAAAAACAGATTGTAAGTAAAAACAGATAGTAAAGATGAATATGATGAACGTATGGATGAATGCTAGCTAAGGGGTTCATCTCCACACATGTTACACTTGCATAATAAAATGATTTCCAATTGCATTTCAATAAACCATGAATTCTCAACACCCCAAGTTAACCGTGATGCACTAATTAACCTTCAAATCTTCCTAACGTTATTGAATTGGATGATGCATGCGACAATTCAAAACATTCCCCACAAGTCCTCAACATGAATGCATAGAAGAGGTACAAGCAAGAATCATTACGCTCTATGAAAATTATAAGTGTTGACGAGGCATTCGTTACTATGATTGCATGAAACTTATGCCAAGAATTCGTTTAACGCGATTGTTTATAAGCAACCTCCACTACTTGTGAATATAAGTTCGTAACTATTAGGTGAAACTCACTTATATTCTAGCGTCATATTCATGCGTGAAAATTAAGCGTGCACTCTCAATAAACATACATAAATAAGTTATCAATCAAACAGTTAAACAAATTGAATCCACAACTTATGAAACGCAATTAGAAGTAATCAAATCAAAATGCAAGCATAAACATATATTTCGAATCATCCCCTAGCTAAAGGGGGGTTTAGTTCCTTATACGTACAAAACAAAGAGAATCAAAGAAACACCTAAACATTCCAACAACTCAAACTTGAATTGTATGAACGTTTAGGCCCTCTTCTCTTCCATTCCTTATTCGTACAAGACAAAGAGTATTGAAATTAAACATTGAAATCAAAGAAACACCTAAACATTCCAACAACTCAAACTTGAATTGTATGAACGTTTAGGCCCTCTTATCTTCCTCTTTGTTGTAGCACAAGGTCTAAGGATAGTTTGATGGTGTGAATGGTTTGGGGAGTGGTGAAAATGGAAGGATGGTGTTTGGATTGTAAGGGAGAGGCACGGCAAGGGTGGTTTGATGGTCTACATTCTGAATATGGAAGAATGTATATGAATTGAGGTGTTTTGGTTGGTCTTTGTGACTGAAATGTGTATGGAAGAGTGTATGAATTGAGGTGGTTGTAATGGATGCTTATTTATAGGTGAAATGGGGGGAACATGACAGCTAGGAGGGAATGTGGCTGCATGTTTGAATGATTAAAGGATGCATGTGGGTTAGAAATGCATGTGCAATGAATATGTGGCTGCATGTGCAAGGGGACAATCTGGAAATGAAAAGGGAAATGCATGTGGCTGCAATAGCATGTGGAATGGCTGAATTGCATGATTATTGCACGACACAAAGGGATGTGTTGGTGTGTGAATGGAAATGCAATCTGAAATGGGAGAGCATGTGGGTGGAAATGCATGTGTTTGCATGTGAATTAAAGCTATATGTGGCTGCAATGATGAAATGGATGGGAGTGCATGTGGCTTGGGTGGAATGAAGGGGGAAGTACACGGCTTTGGGAGAGATTTAGTGTGTGAATGATGGCAGATTGTGTATGTGAATGATTAGGGTGAATGTGCATGTGCTTTGACAGCTAGGTTGAATAAATTAAAGGGAGTGCATGTGGCTGCAAGGTGTGAATGATTTATGAGTGCATGTGCAATGTTTTAAAGGATGGAATGCATGTGAATATGCTGGAAATCTGATGGGAACTCACGGCATTGATGGAAATGAATGATTAAATGTGCATGGCTGGAATGAATGTGTTTGCATGTGAATTAAAGCTAGGGTGAATGATGATAAATGCATGTGGATTAAGTTGGAAATGCATGTGGAGTGGCTGATTAGAATCTAGGGTGCATGTGCATGGCAATGTGTTAGAATGGATGTGTGTTATGCATGGCATGATTGGGATTAGGAAAGGTTTAAATGTCCTAAAACTAAAGGGAACAAGGTTCCAACACTTTGGTCTTTAATTAGGTCTTCAATTTCGTCCAACACTTTGGCTCCAAGCATAAGCTATCCATCCTTAGCCCAAAAGTGCTCCAAAAGTCTCCAAAATGCATCTTTTTGCTCCTTTAGCCCTTTGGACCTACAAACACACGAAAATAGCTTAAAGTACTAAAATAACTAAAGAAACATAACGTAAATGCACGAGAACAAGCCATTTAAGTCGCATGAATATGCTCCTATCAGGCGTCAGGATGAAAATGTCTTTACTATGGAGTAGAATTCTCTTCCATCTTTTTTCCCCTTCATTTTCCTTCCCTCTTATTTGAATGGTCACGGTTAAGCCACATTAACATCTTATATTAATTTTATATAGAAAGAGAAAGACAAAATAGAGAATGTGAGAGGAGAGGAGAAAAGAGGTTGAAAAAAAAGAGGGGAGAGAATCCTAGTCCATTAAGTATTGGTGTAGAGTCCCATCTTTATCCGTCCTAATGTGCCACTTTGCTTTCTATATCCACATATTTGACACCTTTAATTCTCTTTAAATTCAACAAAAATTAATTCTCTAAAAAAATATTTTGTAAATTATTATGGGCTTGTAATCATTTAAAGTTTTATCTTATACCATTAAATTCACCAAAATATTAAAGATATATAATAAATTTATCTAAATTAGCCTAGTTCGCCTAGACGCTAGACCCTAACTTACCGCCCGACTAACGCCTAACATGTTTTAGAACCTTACTTAATCAAATCTTTTTAAGTTTATTTCAAGAAAAAGCCAGTGCTTGCGAAGAGCAAAGCAAGCTGGTTTGATTCATATACATTAACTGACCCATACACACATATACATATACATACATACATATATATATATATAAATATATATTAATTGAGATACCTCACACAGCTGGACAGCTATGATATCTTTCTTCCCTTGCTGGTACCATATTACAAAAGCCAAATAATGAGGATAGTTGCTGTTCTCATCGATCTTGATTGTAATATTTTTGTTTGGATAGCTGCATGATACACTGCATGTTTGAAAAAGGAGAGATTATTGAATCAATTTCTAGTTATGAAAAAAGAAGCAGAAATAAAAAAAACTAGAAATAAATTTATCACAAAATCATGCAGGTTCCACAAAGTTGCTTTCAGGCTGCTAATTACCGTCTGTATTCGATATCAACGATACCAAGAGACAGCAGAGAAGCAGCTGCGTCAATAGTTTGAGCCATTCGGCCAAACGCTCGCTTACTAAAGATGAATTCTCTGTGATCACTCGAGCCTTGGTCAGTTATAACTTCAGTTACTCCTTTGTCTGAGCAATAGGCACTGTTGGTGCACCTCACCTAGGGAACCATCAAGCAAGCAAACTTAATTATGATCACAAACATTACACATGTACGTGCACAGACATACACACATATCTTAGAATCGTGCATGCTCACCTGGTAACAAGCACCGCATCCGAGGCCACTGCGATAGAGGTCAGAGGCAGCTGAGACATCCCCGCCATTGATTGTTGCTCCAAATGAACCAAATCCGCATGCACCAACTGCAGTTCGATACCAAAAAAAAAAAAAAAAAAAAAAAAAAAATGTATCGAGTAAGCATATGCCTGTAACATAAAAGATTTTGCTCATTCTTTTTGTTTGATTAAAAGTCTCTTACTGTCTATTCCTTGTGCTTCAGAATTTGGATAATAAGCTAATCGAGAATGAACGAAACGTTGCAGGCTCGCCCAGAGTTTGTAATAAAAGCAAAACAATGAGAAGGGAGAGTACTTGGGTCCCAAGAGAGAAAGCCATTAGCAAAATAATGAAAGGAGAGCTTGGTATTGATCAATATTATTGCAAAGTTGGTATTGCAATATTGCATGAAGCTAGAGCCAAATGGTTACTGGTATTTATAGTAAACTGCAAAAGTCCATCTTCAAATTTGGTAGACTTGACCAACTTTGACATTCTGCTCTGCTCAAGATTTTTTCTTTTTTTATTGAATTATGATCAGTGGAGTTCTGTTGTCGTTTGTCGGCTACTTTCCTAGACAGATTTATTTACTTGTTTCTCACCTTTCAAATGTGATTGTGATAATTTCTTTTCCCCATGTTAAATTCTTTGATATTAATTAATTAACAAAAAAGTCATTAGTTAAACTGTATTCAAGTGTGAATTATGCAACACTTACCAAATCCAAATGAGTGCTCTTTTCAATTTTCTCCATTAGGAGGTAATGCCATGTTATTTTCTTTGTTTACGTCTAGAAATGGTTGCTCTTTTGTTTTGTACAACAATCATACCATCACATGATACTACATATTTACTTAGTTTATAACAACACATATATAATTTATTTGTTAATATTACATTCTTAGGTCGATGAATATTAATCATAACTATATTATATGCTCACATTATAACACTTGAATTAGTAGTGGAATGTGAGTAGCAGTAAAACATTTCTCCATTGTGGATAAGCATTAATTTATAAGATGAAAAACATTTGTATCTATCACAACTTGTTGGGGGCAATTTTGATGCCCTACATGCTGTTATTTGAACACCATGATAATGGCTTTGCTAAACCCAGAGAGACTAGTCAGAATCAAATATTGAGGCCTTTGAATACACAATTAAGAGATTAGGTTGGAAACTCTGTTGCAAGTACAAGAGAAAGTTAGGTGCTTTTGCACTAGATAATTAAATTTTATACGTGTAATATGGTTGGCATCTCAATTTTCCTACCTAAAGCTAGTGTTTTTTTTTTTTTTTTTTTTTTTTTTTTTGAACAAACGGTATTATCTACTCTAAAGGATGGCAGAATGGGTTAAGCCTCATAATAAGCTAGCAATAACTGATAGGATTAAAAGCACACCACAAAGTAGCACACAAATGTCCTATTGAATTTCCTTATTGACACTAAAATTTGTCAATTGTAGCATATGAAAATAAGGGTCTTTCCCACAAAAGATTGTTTTATCTAATTACTTAAAATGTCACAAAAATTGGGCTGCTGTCCCTACTGACCAGCCATCGAAAATTAATTATTAGACCGACTTACACTTATCTAAAGTCTAGGAAATTTTATATAACACACTAGACACACAGAGCTACACTCACACAAATTTGTGGGATTTTTGGAGTTGATTTGCTATTTAAATTAAATCGAAAAAATAGGACAGAAACAGTTTTTAAGTAGTTCACAAATTAAGAAAAACGAGTTAGAAGAATTGCTATCCACCACCAAATAATCATGCAAACATGTTATGTTTCGTTCAAATTCCTTTTATTTCTGGATCAAGATGCTCAAGTTGGCTCAATGTTAGAACTCAACCTATTACTCTTTCTTATGTAGTATGTTAAGAGAATGGCGTTTTCAACTTAACTTAGTCCCTAACATGCAATCTAGAATGACGTGTTCATAGATTTAACAAGTAGAAATCATTAAGAACAAAAAGAGTTTGAGTCATCACAAGGCATCGTAAGTACTAGCATTATCTTACTTATCCTAGAAATTGGGTTCACTTGTTAATCGTAATTAACAAGTACTACTCTAGAACATATGTAGGTCCTCATTCGACAAGGGCAGGCACACACATATTCATAGCGTTAGAATTCTAGATATGCTTACTACGTATGCATCCATAGAAAAAACATAAAGAATTCATCAATGAGACAAGTAGCGAACCAATTTTCATCCATTCATAAAAGTAATTCAAACGAAATGTCATAACAAACTTACAATCATATTCGGGGCTTCAAAACAAACCCTAATTCCTAAGGATTTAGTTACATATAATCCTTAAATAAAACCAAAAGAAAGACATGAGTTTGAGAAGATAAAATTGAAACAAGAAAATGCCAAGATTTCCTCCTTCCTCTATTGCTTCCCTCTTCCTCGTCCAATTTCTTGCTGCCTTGCTTTCTTCCCTCCCATTTTCGTCAGCTACACCTTTCCAATTTTTTTTTCCTTTGCTACTGCAACCTACAACCATTTTGTTCTTGCTTGCTGCCCTAGTTTCTTCTCCATAACTCACCCCACTAACAGCCGTTTAGTGATGACAATAAGTGAGAGGAAATGGTAAAACATTTGTAACTCTTTAGGTAGCCTTTATGCCAATTACTCCCACTTAATCCTCATCTTTAATTTCATTTCCTCTGATATTTGAATAAGTGTAGCTGGCTTGTTCTTGGCTGCATCAGTTTTAACTGCTAGATTTATTGGGTTCATTGCTTTCATTGCAGTCTTGTCAGTTACAGACTGCTCAGCCTCTTGGAAACCTTTCAATGGGAACCCTTCAGTGTTAAAACGGCCATAACTTCTTCTAGAAAAATGATATTAACAATTACGAAATGTTCCAAAAAATAGACATCCATGACTTTCCAAGAATATAAGGCTCATTCTCTAATTCATTCTAAGTTGTCTGCAACTTGCTTCCAAACTCAGCTAATATGCGCAGGCAGTTTTGACGAATTTGTTAATTAAAATCTCACTTGTGCTATTTTTCTTTTCTTTGCTTGACAAATCCTACAAAACACAAAAACAAAGTAAATAGCTCAAAAATATACGGAACTAACTAAGAAAAGATAGGTGAATTTGATGTAAAATATATATATAAACATGAGCTTATCAAATACCCCTACTCTTAGCTTTTGCTAGTCCTCGAGCAAAACAAAGAAAACATGAAAAAGTAGCAACATGAAAAACATTAGTTCCTCACTATGTGACCCTCATAGAATTTCATTCAAGAAAAAAAAATCATCAAGAACCTTAGCTAGCACCAAACAAGCTAATCCAAGCTCATCTTCCTTATTCAAATGTTAGCAGTAACCTTTTAATCATCCTTGAAGTGGTAGTGTGTGTAATAGCCATGCTAATGCAATTTCAAGGTTTTTTTTTTTTTTTTTTTTATTAAACGCCACATGCAACCTAGTGACCTTCTCACGGGACATAATCACACATATGTTTACTTTAACGTGTTTCAGTCAAAGAATCAAATGTGAAAGATCTACCATAAGTTTGCATAAAGATCACATCTCTACAATCATAATTGCAAAACTTAAATGAAGACGACTTTTCTTGGATGTAATGAGGCTTAGGGAGAGGGTTATAGAAATAAAAGGATAGGTAAACACAAGTTCCAAGCTACATTGCAAGCAATTCTCTTGTTGAGATTTATAAGAACTCAAGCTCTTCAGCCACTCTACTAATACCTCCAACCACACCCTTAAACTGAAACTTAAAAAACACTTTTTATTTGCTTTGTATACAATTTTTCTTTTTCTTCTTCTTCTTTTTTTTTTTTTTTAACCTTTTTCAAGTTCATGCAATCAATGACAAATATTTCGAAAGATCGTTACACAAGTTCTAAAGATGTAAGTCATGTAAGTTCATCACACATGAAAGAATATGGGTGTGAAAAATGCACACACTTTCAATAAGCTCAAAAACTCACATAGGCTGTATATGGTCACTATATTCACATATGAAGCTTTAAGTCATGCTTTAGTTTCACATCAACAAGGCTATGTGCATTTGGTTTTTCAAAGATGATTAAACATGTACAAAACTAACAAGAGAATCAGGAATTTCATACAACACATGCTTACTAAGTTCTTGGTCACCGTGGTTCAAATTCACTCCAATTATATCATTGGGTCGGGAAACTAACAAAAATCTAATTCAAAACAATAAATAAAACAAGACAATATTTTTGGATTTTCAAATCTTCCGGATTTTTTTTATAAATGTTTTTGGTTTTTTTGGAGTTAAAAAAACTAATTAAGAGAACAAAAAGAAACAACACAGACACAAATCAAACCAGTTCTTAGTCGAAGGGATGAAAATTTTCAATTTGGTCATTTTTTCAATCCTTACCCCCAAACCTAAACTAGACATTGTCCCCAATGTCAAAAAACACAATAATTCATAAAATAAAAATAAAATAAAACAGTAAGAAACAAAATAAAGCATTCGGACTGAAAACTTCCCCAATTTGCAGTAAAATCAAATGATGACCCCCAAACTTCAATTTTGCAATCAACTTCAAGGGTGGACATAACCAAATGTTCATCCACATCATGCTATGCAAAAGACTCGTAATATGGGTTGAGTCTATGCCCATTCACTTTTAACACATTCTCGGTCTTCGCACTTTGAATTTCCACTTTGATTTCTCGAAGCTTTTGAAGTGTTCGTTCAAGTTCAAGATCGTAGGAAGCTAGGTCAATGCTCTTGGACCTTTGAGTATGCATATACTACAAAGAGTACCTGAAATAAAAACAAAAACAAAAACACTAACTACACAAGAAAATAAAACAATAGAAAAATAAGTAATTTGAAATAACAATCCCTGGCGACACCGAGCCAAAAATTTGATAGGATTAAAAGCACATCACAAAGTAGCACACAAATGTCCTATTGATTTTCCTTATTAACACTAAAAATTTTCAATTGTAGCATATGAAAATAAGGGTATTTCCCATAGAAGATTGTTTTATCTAATTACTTAAAATGTCACAAAACTGGGTTGTTGTCCCTACTGATCAGCCACCGAAAAATAATTATTATACTGACTTACACTTATCTAAAGTCTATGAAATTTTATTTGAACACACTAGACACACAGAGCTACACTCATACAAACTTTTGGGATTTTTGGAGTTGATTTGCAATTTAAATTAAATCAAAAAACTGGACAGAAACAAATTTTAAGTAGTTCACAAATTAAGAAAAACGAGTTAGAGGAATTGCTATCCACCACCAAATAATCATGCAAACATGTTATGTTTCATTCAAATTCCTTTTA